TAAAATTAATTCCTAAAAATCGCCTTGAAAACGAATCTTTACTCTACAATACTTCCTTAAGGAAGTTATAAGCAGAATGCAAAATATTAAAAATGGCTTGAAACTTGAAACACAATTTTATTTATAAATAATGTTTGCATATATAAATTCTTACAGAATTTATCTTACAGAATTTTTCAAAAATTAATAACAAAGTATTAGATTTTATAATTGAGTATTATGACAGACTCGATTTTGCATATCTATTTTCAACAAACATAAATATATGTTTAAAATATTAAAAAGCAAATAAATTAATTAAATAATTTGTCAATGACATATGAGGTATATCACCGGTTAAAAGTATGTTTAAATATTCATGTTTAAATATTTATGTTTAAATATTATATTAAGGAATTTCATCACACACGATTAATTTATAGTAGTGAAGAATATAAGTAAAGATGTCATGTTACAAACATATGTAATAAGATATAATATTTTTGTTATTCAAATTATGCCTGATGCAAAAAACTTGGAGAAAATATTTTTTTCTTTTCTATTATCTCTTTCTGTACATTTGTATTAGATCAACTGATGCGTGAATGAAGTATTAATACGAGGGCTATCCGGAAAGTAAGGTTACAAGATTTTTTATAAATACAAAAATGCATATATTTTAATGAAACTTACAGGGATTATAGTATAAGTATTATATTATTTTTCCACATAATCACCATTTACTTTAATATATTTTGTTAATCGTGGGACGAGTTTTTTCACTCCTGTGTCATAGAGGTCTCCCGTCACCTCTTTTAGCCAGTTCTCCACTTTGATTTTCACCTCGTCGTCATCGAAAAAATGTTTTCCACTCAGATGTTCCTTCAATTTAGTGAAGAGATGATAGACGCTAGGTGCGAGATTAGAGCTGTGAGGGGGGTGGATTAAAACATCCCAACAAAATGAAGTCAACAACTCTTGTGTTACACGAGCGGTGTGCGGACGAGCATTGTCATGAAGGAGACAGATTCCCTTCGTCAGCATCCCATGGCGTTTGTTTTGTATGGTTCTAATGCCCTTTGCATTCAGGTAGCGTATTACAGCGCGCACTTCGCACTTGGCGGGAAACGGAATGAGGACGCTCATCTTTAACCTTCACCACAACGAGAGTTGGAAAGCTACTGACATCCGACACTGCTCGTTCGATTCAGCTGGCTTCTCGCTACATAGCAATGGTACCAACTTTGAAAAAAACATTTGCCTGCGAGAGCTACGCGCCTTGTAACCTTACTTTCCGGGTAGCCCTCGTAAGAAAAAATAAAAAATGTAATGAGAGTAACAGTTCTAAAAATGTGTTTATGGATGTGTGTGTGCGCGCGCGCGCGTGTGTTGAATTTCATCGTGTAACTAAAGAACATGCATTGCTGCTGTACCTTTACAACTGTAAATTCAGAAGCTTAAAAGTATGCGAGAAGTTTGCAGGAAGACTTCTACACACGCATGATTATGTTTTTCTAGTAAATTCGGTAAAACAAAACAAAACTACCCTGTAAAAAATTTGTATAAAATTCCATCGTATAATCTTTATTAAAATATCTTATACACACAGATATACAGGGTGTCTCACACTCTCTTCCGGGCATTTTATGGGGACATAGAATAGGTTAATGTGAACATAAAAGTCCTATACTGTTTTGCGATATTCGCAATAATAGTCGAGATATTAATTAAAAAAGATTAAGGAAAAACGCACGCTGAATGGTAGAGGACAGACCGTTCGAGTCACAGCGCGGCCCAATAATAAAGCGCGCGGATGTCACGCGCGGTGATTGGAAAACAATGCACCACTGCCTGTTCTTATCTCGGCGCGGTGCGGCAAGACGTAGGAGCGTAACGGTATACCAGGTATGTAAATATGAAACTGGAATTTTGTATAGAAAATACACGTTTATTGTATGAAAATGATAAAAAATATTTTATTCGAAGTATTGCCCATCGCTAGCTATACATTTTTCCCACCTGTCTGACAATTTGTGGGTGCCACGCCAAAAAAACTGTTGCTCTTTTGAGGCAAACCAGTCATCGAGCCATTTTCGTACATTTTCGTAAGAAGTGAAGCGCTGCTTAGCAAGTGCGTGTCCCATCGATGCAAATAAATAGTAATCGGACGGAGCCAAGTCTGGTGAGTAAGCCGCATGCGAAAATATTTCCCAACTAAACGCCTCAATCGTTTCCTTGACCAGTTTTGCTGTGTGTGATGGTGCATTATCATGAAGCAAAATCACTTTGTGTTGCCTCTTTTATATTCTGGTCGTTTTTCACGCAAAGCTTGATTCAAATCGATCATTTGTTGTCGGTAGCGTTCAGTATTAACGGTTTGGCCAGGTTTTAGCAGCTCATAATAGATCACACCCTTCTGATCCCACCAAACACAGAGCATTGTCTTCCGTCCATAGCGATTTGGCCTTGCAGTCGATGTCGATGGTTCGCCTGGAGTTACCCATGATCTTTTACGCTTAGGATTCTCAAAATATATCCACTTTTCATCGCCAGTCACAATTCGATGGAGAAATGACTTTCTTTTGTACCTGGCGAGCAGCATTTCGCAAGTGGTTTTTCGGTTTTCCTGCTGTCTTTCATTCAGTTCATGTGGAACCCATTTTCCCATCTTCTGGATCTTTCCCATGGCTTTCAAACGTATGGAGACGGCTTCTCGTGTCACATTTAATTGATCCGCGAGTTGTTGTTGCGTTTGAGTGTCATCCTTATCCAACAATGCTTGCAATTCGCTGTCTTCAAACTTTTTCAGTGGTCTTCCGCGTTCTTTGTTTCTCACGTCAAAATCGCCACTTTTGAATTTTTTAAACCACTCAAAGCACTGTGATTTACCAAGAGCATGCTCACCGTAAGCTTCGACAAGCATTCGATGCGATTCTGCAGCAGTTTTCTTTAAATGGTAACAGAAAATCAATGCTGTCCGCAAATCGTAGTTTCCAGGCACAAAATTCGACATGTTCAACGCTATTACAAACTATGCTGTTGTATGAAACTTGTATTGTTGTAAGTTGAAAATCTTTGTCAGAGATGTCAACAAGGAAATGGCGCCAATGGCGCGGTTTGACGGTAACTACATTGACAGCTAGGGCCATCTGTGGGCAAATTCCGGTTTCATATTTACAAATCTGGTACACACAAGTACCCCCGGCCAAAGTTTCTGATCTTTCTTTGGTACGGATGCAATAAAATTTATTAAGTCCGAAAAAATCTTTTTGAGTTGAAGTAATTCTATTGGAATACTCCAAGAAGTTCTGAGGAACTCCAATCATGGTGCATGTAACTTCCTAAATCATTCTTATAGTATGCCTCCACGAATTCCTAAGGAAGTACAATTCAGGAAAGGAGAAAACTTTTTCGGTGACCTTCCACGTTCTTCGTTTCTCACGTCAAAATCAACATTTCAAGAATTCATCACTTTCAACACTTAAAGAATTCATCATGCTATCTGGGTATGCTTTGCGAGCGATATTATTCAAATAATAGGAAAGAAACAAGAAAGAAAGAAACGTATTTTCAATCATTTTCTGTAATTTATACATACTTTATATTACACATTATATACAATATGACAGGTTAGAAAATTATTTTTAATAATTATTATTATTCGACACATTCGCATTTATTACAGTGTTTATATAATTATTTTATTATAAGATATTTACTTATTTCTGCTGTTTATTACTTCTTTATATAACTATTATTAGTACTTTAGTACTAATAAACATTAATCTTGATTAATAATATTTATACTGTCACGCTTTATGAGTTCTCCATATCTCTGAGAAGTCTTATTTTGGGTGCGTTCCGAAATTCATTGCCAATATTAAAAATCTATAGTTCATATTACGTATACTATAGAATTTCCGTACTGGCAGCGAATTTCGGAACGCAGCCTTCATATCATCTAATTTTATCTTATCTTATGTACAACGCCATGTTTTGTCGAACTAGAAACATAGGCCAGACTCTTACTATAGGGACTCTAATCGCCACCACTGTAGATACGTGATGAAGAAAGTTTGAATGTCTAAGTAGCTGCATATGGAAAACTTAAGTGTGCAACATTATAATATTGGCGAAATGGATATACTCAGTGAATATACTGACTGGCTAGCAAACACAGAACATAACTATTATATAACAGAAGTAACACAGGACACAATCTATGGAAGAGTGGTTAAATGTATAATAAGTCTTTCATATTTAACGATAGAGACTGTATTGTGGAAATGGAACTCCAAAAATAAAATCAATAATAAAACATCATACGACTTATCGAAAATTCTACAATATTCTGAGATATTCATGATAGTTATCGAAATATTAATTAAAAAATATTTAGGAATAATTATGCGAGATATGGCAAATAAGTAGCAACTGTAGTGACGATGTCTGCTATTATGTGTTTGTACATTAGTTCAAACTGGACAAAAAAGTCCTGCATCATTTTCCTAATAACTTTAGAGACGTTTAAATATTAATTAAATTTCTAAAAGTTTCGATTATTGTTTCAGGAAACGCAGTGTATTATGGAGATATTGTGCTTAAAGACTCACTTTTTTACTAGTTAAAATAATTTTATATAAAATTACTCGGTTATGTAAGGCAAATTATTTTACACGATGCAAAAATTTCACAAATATTAGAAAAAATGATTTAAAAAACAGGTAACATTAATATCTATTAAATACAAGATCGGTAAAAGAATGAACATTTGACACTGAACGCAAAAGAATTTTTAATGCGCGACTCAAAGTGCAAATTCCAATATTTATGTGACATTTACGTGTCAGAATTATAATATGACCTACATTATGACAGCGTGTTATTCCGACGTTACACTGTAAGAAAGTGAGAGAGGAAGAAAGACAAAGAATAGCACTACGCAGATATTGTATCGAGGGCGTGGGAATATTTCTATAGATATTTGTATAAATGGATGCTAATAAGACTTACATTATAGCAGTTGCATCAAAGATGCCATTATATAAATGTCTCAAAACATTTCTAAGTTTCATTGTTACGTTCAATAGGATCAAGCATTTAACTTAAGGTATGTACTTGCTGCTTTTGACAGATGATAATAAATAACATTAGTAAAGAAATGAGATTATTAGAAAATTTTATTTTATTAAATAAACTTTTTACTCGCAAAAACTTTAGCGTAAAATAAGCTTGCAGATTTATTTAGGAATTATTTTCATTATTGTATTCCTTACCTCAAAAACAGTTGAAAACGTTACTTTTTCGAGTAGAACTCAATTTAATAGTGAACTAAAAGTATGGAGAGCAGTAAACGGTTTAATCCATACGTAAAAGTCCCTCCAGACGAGGAAATTGTGATCTCTGGTATCGCCGGGCGATTTCCCAATTCTGATAATATAAAACTGTTGCAAGAAAATCTTTTGAATAAGACCGATCTTGGTTCGGAGGATGATCGACGATGGAGCAGTGGTAACGTAATAATTATTCAAACAAATGTCCATAAGAGAAAACAATAAACTGTCATTGTTTTATTTGAGAAACTCCGAAGATTACATTAGAAATATAATAAAGTGAATGTTTGAAATTTTAACAGTTGACTACGACATACCGGCTCGATCAGGAAAGATTAATAATGTAGAAAAGTTCGACGCGCAATATTTCAATATGACGTTTTCCAAAGCACATACTACAGATCCTATGTGCAGAATGTTGCTTGAACACACTTATGAAGCGATTATCGATGCAGGTGTAAATCCTAAAGAATTACGAGGAACAAGAACCGGTGTCTTCATAGGATCCTGTTATTCTGAGAGTACCAACATGATTCTCTATCACAGAATTCAGGTATAATTAGATATAAATTCTGTTTTATTATACAATATCTTTTAATATTCGAGATATGCAGAAAGTTTTGGATACAGCAATTCAAGAAAGAAATATTTCCCAATAATACTTCAAACAAAAGTACACGAAAAGAAATTTGGTTGGACCAAACATCTAGTAAAATACGGATTTACTAGTGGAAATTAGTGGTAATACGTATTATAAGTGATACTTGATGAGCTGATGTGTATAAGTATGTAAACTTTATTATTACTATGAAAAACTATCAAAGATAATTCGTTATTACAGGAATACGTTTATAAAATTATTAAATATTACTTTCCCTGTACAAAAATTTATTTTTCGTGACAATTACATTTTTATCCAATCAGCAGACAATGTTTTTTAAACGTTTTTTAAATATTTATTTTTTATTGATATTACATTGTACAGTTTAATGTAAAAATAATATTTAATAACCTTATAAACGTATTTTTGTAATAATGAATTATTTTTCATAGTTCTTCTATAGTAATAATAAAGTTTATGTACTTATATACATCAGCTCATCAAGTGCCATTTATAATACTCTTATTACTATTGGCATTTGTAATGTCACTTCTGACATTACTAGTATCACTAATAATATCACTGCTAATACTAGTAGTGTCACTAACAGTGTTACAATTAGTACTATTAATGTCACTATTAGAGTCACTAACAGTGCTACTATTAACATTAATAATGTCACTATCAACACTAATAGTGTAACTAACAGTATCACTATTAGCACTGCTAGTGAAACTATTAGTGACACTATTACTATTAATAATACTTTTTGTATATGGAAGTCATCTTGTTAGAATATTCTCAGAATATTTTGTGCTGTCTGGGAATATATTATAATTCTATAATATAATGAACAAGATACACTTATATGCAAGGTCGCAGATATAAATGCAATAGAGAAAAACTCACGTGAAGGCATATTTATTTTATTTATTTTATTTATTTATTTATTTATTTATTTATTTATTTATTTATTTATTTATTTATTTATTTATTTATTTATTTATTTATTTATTTATTTATTTATTTATTTATTTATTTATTTATTTATTTATTTATTTATTTATTTATTTATTTATTTATTTATTTATTTATTTATTTATTTATTTATTTATTTATTTATTTATTTATTTATTTATTTATTTATTTATTTATTTATTTATTTATTTATTTATTTATTTATTTATTTATTTATTTATTTATTTATTTATTTATTTATTTATTTATTTATTTATTTATTTATTTATTTATTTATTTATTTATTTATTTATTTATTTATTTATTTATTTATTTATTTATTTATTTATTTATTTATTTATTTATTTATTTATTTATTTATTTATTTATTTATTTATTTATTTATTTATTTATTTATTTATTTATTTATTTATTTATTTATTTATTTATTTATTTATTTATTTATTTATTTATTTATTTATTTATTTATTTATTTATTTATTTATTTATTTATTTATTTATTTATTTATTTATTTATTTATTTATTTATTTATTTATTTATTTATTTATTTATTTATTTATTTATTTATTTATTTATTTATTTATTTATTTATTTATTTATTTATTTATTTATTTATTTATTTATTTATTTATTTATTTATTTATTTATTTATTTATTTATTTATTTATTTACATATTTATTTTATTTATTTACTTGCGACTAGGTATTCTCAGTTATAGGATGTAGTAAATATTGGTTAGCGAACAGCATTTCTAACTGGCTCGGTCTTAATGGACCATCTTATGCCGTGGACACGGCTTGCAGTTCAAGCAGCTACGCTATAATGGAAGCTTACAGGATGATACGAAGTGGAGAATGCGACGCGGCCATCGTAGGAGGAGCCAATCTGTGTCTGCATCCCAATATAACGCTTCAGTTTTATAATCTCGGTAAAGATATATTCAGGGAAAGAATCTTTTCGTCTTATGGGCTTGTTCTTTACGCGTAAGCGCCGTGACAATAGCAAATCAAACAATCGATATTATAATCAGTGGTGAATATTTGCAGGAGTTCTCTCCGCTGATGGTTACTGTAAGCCCTTCGACATTAGTGGTTCTGGTTACATGCGCAGTGAAACTATCGCGATAATTTACCTGCAAAAAGCAAAGGATGCGAGACGAATCTATGCGACTTTTGTCTATGCTAAAACCAATTCCGACGGTTTCAAGGAAGAAGGCATTACGTATCCTTCAATGAGCATGCAGAAAAAATTATTAGAAGAGTTTTACGATGATTGTGGTGTTACATCTAAAGAGCTATCCTACATGGAGGCTCATGCAACGGGTACTACAGTAGGAGATCCTGTAGAAGTTGACGCTATCGATCAGGCTTTATGCTCAAAAAGAACTACTCCTTTGTTGGTGGGTTCGGTGAAATCGAATCTTGGTCATTCGGAACCTGGCAGTGGTCTTTGCCAAGTGGCAAAAGTATGTGAATAATAAGAGTTAAAATTTACTTCTATATGTATATAAATTTTGTAACTTGTTTACAGTTCTGCAGTTATGATTCTGTTATTCCTATTATAATGGAACTTTTTTCAAATTTTTAGGTAGTGATAGCAATGGAAACTGGTATAATTCCACCAACCATACATTATGAAATACCACGAAAGGAATTAACTGCTATAATTGAAGGCAGAATAAAGATCGTTACTGAACCTACTACATGTGAGGGTGGTTACATGTGTATTCATTCTTCTGGATTTGGTGGTGCAAATTGTCACATATTGTTGAAATCGAATCCCAAAAATAAAATCAACAATGCATTATCAGACGATTTACCTAGACTTGTAGTTGTATCTGGTCGTACTGAGGAAGCTGTTAAAACTCTCTTAGATGATGTAAGTTTGTCTGATTATATTACTTTATAAGAGTCAGTAGAACAATATAGTAGAACAATATTTATCTGAAAATAAAATAATTATTTGTATCAAAATTTGTATATGTAACTTTTCTGCGGTAGGTTAATAGTCGAGAACTAGATGTGGAATACGTTGCTCTTCTGCACCGTGTTCATGCTGAAAATATAGAGGGGCACCCGTACAGGGGATACACTATAACAGGATTGAAAACAGCTCGTAACACAATAAAGAACGTTGGAAACAGTTTATATGTAAGAAAACCAATCTGCTTCGTATTTCCCGGGACAGACGTTTTGTGGTGTAACATAGGTGTGCTAATAATTATTAAAGTAACTTATATTTGTTTGTATAAACAATACATATTTTTGCCTATAATCTGACTATAACTCGAACTCTATGTCTCATTAATACATTTGATTTTGATATATGAAGAATTGATGAAATTGCCAGTGTTTGCTAAGGCAATTGAAAAATGCAATGCAACATTAAAACAGCATGATATATGCGTCACAGATATTCTAACGGACAAAAACAAATTCGCTTGCAACAGCATTTTAAAATCATTTGTAGCAACTACTGCTGTACAGGTAAGAAGTTTCTAAATGCATTTCCATCTCTCCTTCCGTGTACAGAAATGCGTTTAGAAACTCGTCCAGAGAAGTGCCGCAATTTTGACCATTCAATTATACATACAAATACACATGCGCGTCAATAGACACATTTTAAAACTTACACAGTACATGAAATATAATAGAACTCAATTAAAACTATGATTTTTCTGAACAACAATGTAGATTGGTCTAGTGGATCTTTTAATTCATATTGGTATCTCACCCGATTACATGATTGGCCTCTCTATTGGTGACTTAATTTGCGAATATGTTGATGGAATTTTCACTACTGAAGAAACGATTTTGATGGCTTATTACATGGGCATTGTATTTGAACAGTTCAAAATACAGGTATTATGTACAGTAACTTATTAATTCTTAGAGAATATGGAACATTGTAGAAATGTATATTCTATGTAACCGATGTTCATCTGATCGCTGTTATTTTGCAAGTATATAGGATATCTGAAGCAAGTATATAAAACGAAACTGCGGAAATAGAAACTTGAAGAAACGTATGAAGAATGAATTTTGCGCTAACAGAGCTTCCCAGTAAGCAAATTGAGAGCAGACTGCGCGCAAATTGGCAGCAAATTTGATAAAAAATTTACACCAAAACCATAGCAATCTGTGTCCTCATTCAGCTACGGTTTTGGCGATAGAGCTTGCTGTCGGGCAATTGCTGCAGATTTCCAGCAAAAACCGCGCAGAGTCTGCAGTGCAGCAAGATCTGCGCGGTTTCTGCCGCTGATCTGCCGTCAGATTGCTACAAATTCTGCACGATTTTTCCTGCAAATCTGCAGCAATTATTCGACAACAGGCTCTGTAGTATATCTGGCGACAGTTTGGCAGCAAGATTTGATATAACAGATCTTGCATCAAATTTGTTATCTATTTGCCATCAAAAATTGGTAGCCAGTTCTGCTCGAAATCTGTTCGCGCAGGTTTGGCTATTTGGGTTATTTCACAACGTTGCACGTTCAGGTTCGTCCTCCTTTCTCCCTTAATATGTCAAAATTTCACGTGATTCAAGTAAAATGACAGAGATGCTCGTATTCAGGTTGATGCGTTTTACGTTCACACGTGGTTTTATATATCTTGCATCAGACATCCTATATTCGCAGGTCACAGTTCTGAACAAATATACACGTCCCCCCCCCCTTTCTAAGTACTCTAAGAGTTAAATAATTCAGTATAGATATTAATTTTATAATTACCACATCTATATAGATATATGTATTTAAAACTTATTACCGTTTTTCAGATTGACAATATTACTACGAATTGCTGCAAATACTTTGAGTCTATCAGAGCGCAACTCTTGCAGTATTTGAGCCACCTATTACCGCTGCAATCTCCAAAAAGTCGCGGTGTAATATGGTTGGGCAGATCTCGTATTGAATTCGGCAATACGTGCGCAGCTATGGCAGAATATTATGTAGACAATTTATTGTATCCGGCAACATTAGAAAATATTATACCTTTGATATCGAACGATACAGTACTTGTCGAGATGATGCCGGAAAACATTTTACAAACAGTCATAACGAAGTCATTGAAATCAAAGATGACGTTGGTTTCATTGTGTAAACATGGCCATGCGAGTACTATACAAGACGTTTTAGAAGGAATTGGAGATTTTTATAATATAGGCTTCCAGCCACAAATTTCAAATTTGTATCCTCCAATACAATTTCCGGTTAGTCGTGGGACACCAATGATTTCTCCTCTTGTCAGGTGCATTTTCCAATACATAAAAAAATGACACTTATCTATTTCCATATTTTGCTGTTCTACTACAATTATTACAGATGGAACCACTCCGAGGACTATTTTCTCTTCCGTTATAAAGGTCAAGAAAAAATTTTCAGTAGAGAAGTAACCGTCAATATTACAACCGTTGATGCAGATTACGAGTACATGTCCGGTCATGTGATTGATGGGAAAAATCTGTTACCAGCTACTGGTTATCTTTTTCTAATTTGGCATATGATTAGTCTGTTGAGCGGCATTGACTATCGCAAAATACCAATTGTATTTGGAAATGTTAAATTCGTTCGTGCCACTTCTTTATCAAAGAAAGATGAATTGAAATTAATTCTATTAATTAATTCAATCCAAAAAGGTAATTCCTTTTTTTTTCACAGTTACTTAAGTCATGATTTTTATTCACCGTACGTATAGTATAGTCTTAATTGATTTCAACTTTCTTGGTACACTTACAGACAGTAATAACTTTGAGATTATGGAGGGAAACGATATTATCGTAAGTGGAGTCGTGAGGATTCCTGACGACATCATGAGTGAAAAGCTACCAGTCCAATATTTATCCAAGCACGACGATAACGAGAAATGCAATGAATACATAAATACCGCGGATATTTATAAGGAGTTACGTCTTCGTGGCTATCAATATACCGGTTTATTTCGTTCGTTGAAGAGTGCCTCGTTCACAAGAAAGATAGGACGTATTAAATGGCTGTCAAACTGGGTAGCATTCATGGATAATATGTTGCAAATAAAAATTCTGTCGAACGACTCAAGAAGTACTTATGTACCGACCCAAATTGATAAACTGGTAATTGATCCTACGTATCATTTAATGCAGGTTCAGAATGTCCCTATTGGAGAAAGGGGTAAGAGAATCTTCGGTTTGATCTAAAAAAATTCTTTCATTCTCCATAATTTTCAACGTAAAAGACTCCTATACTCATGTCAAAATATCTAATTTTATTACAGATTTTCCCGTATACGTCTACGATTATATAGATGCTATAGTATCCGGAGGAGTAGAAATTTCTGGGCTCAAAGCTACCGCTATATCTCGTCGGGTGACACGCGCCGAAGCCATACACGAGGAATACAGATTCATTGCTTATCGCGATCATGCCTTGATATCCTTGAAAGAAGCGATAAAATTATCGGTGCACATTGCACTTGAGTGCTATGAATTGAAAAATGTCAAAGTAATCGAGTACGTCGAGGATAACGACGAACTCCTGTTGAAGGATTTGGTCACTCCAGTTGTTCAAGAAGTTATAAATAACTTGCCGTTAATACGATCTAATCTCACGTTGGTTGCAAAAGTCAACAGATTCGACAGTTCCTCTTTGCCTCCAAATCTATCGATCAGTTCTATCGTGCAGTTCAACAAATTAGCGAAAGACAACGTTTGCTTATTGGCCATTGGTGTTGGAATTTTGACGAAAAATATACATTTTATGAACAGATTATTGTCCAGTGTAATGACTGGAGGCTTTTTGTTGAGTCGAGAGGATCTGAGTGCAACTTACGATTACTCGTTACTGCAACGCAACAATCTGAATATCATCCTGGAAAAACGCACGGAACAAGAAGTTCTAGTGCTTTTAAAAAAGGCGGTAACCACCGTGAAGATTCGAGAAATCGTATATATAAGCAATCACGAATTTTCGTGGATTAATAAGCTGAAAGATGCCATGAACAAAGAAAATGAATCAAATACAAACACAAAAATAACAGTTGTTGCAGAGGGTGATTCGGAGTGTGGTGTGTTAGGACTTGTCAATTGTTTACGAAAAGAGCCGGATGGGGAAATGATTCAATGCATATTTATTCAAGACAAGGATGCGCCCAAGTTTTCCTTGCAAGAGCCATTCTATATGGAGCAATTGCAATTGAACTTGCCAATTAACGTCTTACGTCCCGGCAAAGTTTGGGGTTCTTACAGGCATTTTTCATTACATGCACCAGAGCCGAGACTTGTGCAGTACGGCTACGTCCTTCAGGAGGTGTGTTAACGTATTTATTCAAGAAAATAGAGAAAAGAAATCGTCATAAGACGGGATTTGTTTAACATCCTGTGAATGGCACTGTACCAAAACGATAAATACTGCTTCAATTCGAAATCATTTATTTAACATGAATTATTTATACGAATTATTTATATGAATTATTTATACGAATTTATGATAATACGATGAAATTAATTTTCGTCAGACACGAGGTGATCTCAGCGCGCTCCGTTGGGTTGAAGGACGAATATCTACTAATATCAAGCATATAAAAGTATTTTACGTGGCGCTTAATTTTAAAGATATTATGATAGCTACTGGTAAACTTTCTATGGAAGCCTTTAAATCAGTTAGTGGGCGAGACGTTGATTCCATATTAGGTTACGACTTTGTTGGTTTTGACAAAAGTGGACAGCGAATAATGGGGATCCATCCTGGCAGGTAAGATAGTGCCGTTCGAATTCTTTTTTTTATAATATCTAAAATAAAAATTTCTATAGCCAAAAAGATAAAAATGCTTTTCAATTTTTATAAAATCGTTACTAAAGTGTTTTGAGTCGTTGAATATAAATTTGGGATCAAAATTTGAAAATTCAAAATAGCGGATCTAATATCGCAATTAGAAGTTCTTAGAAATTCAGTAAAAAGCCGGATTCCTATCAAAATTTGTGCTAGAAATTTTTAGAGTCCCTAAACTGGGATTATTCAAACATTTTGGTAAACATATTAATTAATTCGCCATTACGAAATTTAGAATGTTAACGTCCACATTCGTATTCCAAAAACATAACAAAAATCGTATTCATAAAACTTTTTATTATCGATTCTCATTATAATCTAACAATTTGTTGAATTTCTCGAAAATGTAGGGCGTCATATTGGATTTGGCATTTTGAATTTTGGAATTTTTACGCTAAATTCGTATAAAATGACTCGGAAACTTTTTTATGCTACTGAGTTTCATGAAAATCTTGCTAACTTGAAAAAAATTAAACAATATGCGCAATGTTAAATGAATGCTATTTTCTTTCTTTAACACAGAAACACACATTAAGTGATTAATAGAAATCTTCCTTTTTTCCTTCTGTTCTCAAGAAAACTATATTGAACTGATTTGTAAAACCATTTTCTTTTTTAGAGCAATGTCAAATATTATAGTACCTGACTATCGTACACTGACATGGGATATACCTGACGAATGGACATTTGAGGACGCTGCGACAGTTCCGTGCGTTTATATCACATGTTACTATGCTCTGTACGTAAAAGGAAAAATTAAGAAAGGGGATAAAGTTCTCATTCATTCGGGCAGCGGTGGTGTTGGTCAAGCCGCGATTAATCTCGCACTGAACGAAGAATGCGAAATTTTTACGACAGTCGGAACACTTGAGAAACGACAATTCATTAGAGAAACTTTTCCCTGCATACCCGATAATCATATCGGCAATTCTCGCGATACAAGTTTCGAACAAATGATCGTTCAGCAAACGCACGGACGGGGTGTAGATATTGTGCTAAATTCTCTAGCTGAGGAAAAACTTCAAGCGTCTGTTCGCTGTTTGGCAAGAGGTGGTCGATTCCTAGAAATAGGAAAATATGATTTAATTTCCAATAATATCTTAGATAAAATAGCTTTCGCGAGAGGCATTAGTTTCCACGGCGTCATGTTGGACAATATAATCTGCCACTCCGAAGAAACAAGGAAACACCTACATGATTTAATTTCGCAAGGTTTAAAAAAGCATGTAATAAAAATGCTTCCGAGGAAAGTCTTCGAAAAGACTGAAATAGAAGCTGCTTTCAGGTACATGGCAGCTGGTAAGCACATAGGAAAGGTAATTATTCTCGTAAAAACGAGTGAAATATTCATGATTGCTTGCGCGAAAGTTCCTCCTGCACGTTCATGTAAAATTTGAAAGTTACTATCTTTATTTTCAGATACTAATCAAGATACGCGACGAAAACGAGCCATTGGATCTTCCTATTCTGGCTCACCCCCGATTTTTCTGCGAGCCTCATAAATCTTACATTATTTTGGGCGGCCTCGGTGGCTTTGGTTTGGAATTGGCCGATTGGCTAATTCTGCGCGAAGCCCGCAAGCTTGTGCTGACTTCACGGACTGGGATACGAAATGGTTATCAACGTTCAAGAGTAGAGCTATGGAAGTCCTATGGAGTGGATGTACAAATAATTGCTGGTGTTGATGCGTCCATTCATGAAGACTGCGCAAATATCTTAAATTTCGCCGCGACAATGGGACCAGTGGACGCTATATTTAACCTCGCGGTAGTACTGAAGGATGCAATCTACAAGAACCAAACCACCGAGACTTTTGAAGAATCGTTTAAGCCGAAGGCGAGGACAACAAAGATGCTTGATGAGCTATCCAGAAAGATGTGTACCGATCTTAGACATTTCATTGTTTTCTCGTCTGTCTCATGTGGCCGCGGAAATGCCGGACAAACTAATTACGGTATGGCCAATTCTATCATGGAAAGAATTTGCGAAAAGAGAGTACAGGACGGATTCCCTGGGATGGCTATTCAATGGGGCGCAGTGGGTGATGTCGGTCTCGTTGCTGACATGGTAGAAGACAATAAGGAATTAGTTATTGGCGGTACGTTACAGCAGAGAATATTGTCCTGCCTGCAGTCGCTGGATGCTTTCTTGGTGCAAAGTCGACCTATCGTAGGTAGTATGGTCGTGGCAGAGAAGGGGACGGGTCTAAGCGGAACGATGAACATTTTGGAAACCGTTGCCAATATTATGGGTAATCGTTTCGTTATGCATAAAACATATTTATTGAGTGTGACGACTTTTATATTTCCTATTTATGTTCCTTAGTCGCTGTAACATTTACTTAAAACTTATTTACTATCGACATGTTTATCTTGATAGATGACATCAGAATCGAGAAAATACACGTTTTGAACTTTCGCAAAATGCGTTGTAATAAAAAATATATCCGTAACATGTTATCTATGATCAATTAAACAAATTTTAAAGATAAGCTAAAAACGCTCATTTTGCGTCAGTAATCAGAAAATGGATATACAATTAAAATAACAATTTTACATGGTAAATAGATAGGCTGCATTTGTCATTAATTTTGCAGTTTAGTATTTCGTAGATAATCTCTGGATCCTTAATATAATAGAAAAATGTCGATGGTATTTTACAAATTTACGCAATCAATCATGTGTTTTATTTTATGAACATATCTTTTTCTTTGAATATATTTTACAAAAATATTGTGAGTTATTTCTCACTCTTGACATTATTATTCATGATAATAGTGGCGAGAAACCAAAGTCTTTAATTATTTCGTCTTTGCTAACACAGGGTTGAAAGATATAAGAATGGTTGGACGTCGCACCGCACTATCGGAAATCGGCATGGATTCGATGATGGCAGTCGAGATCAAACAAACATTAGAGAGAGAATTCGATGTTCATCTTACTGCACAGGACATTCGGAATCTCACTATCGAAAAGCTTTGCAAAATGGCTGACACAGATAAGTCTTTGGGAAAGGAATCTAACCGAGATGAACCTATTGTCGATATGGAAGGAATAAAATCGCTACTTTGGCTACCGAAAAATTTAACTATTGTTCCGGATATTTGTTTGGAACTGTCCACAAAGCATGAGACGGACAGAGAAAGAGTATTTCTTATACCTGGAATTGAAGGTTGTGGAAGCGTATTTAATTGGTTGGCTCCAAAAATCAAAGCTCCCGCGACGTGTTTGCAGCATGGTGCAAATAACATCTCTACGTGCGAATCAGTGTTGCAGTCGGCTGTCACGTTATTACCTGTACGTAGCAATATAATGGCGAAATATAATTACATACATGATAATCTATTGTGTTGAGAAGAAGACTTGTAATCGTATCACCTAAATTAAAAAAACTATTTAAAATAGGGAATTTCGTATATTTGTTTTCTAGCATGTTCTAACAAGAATGAAGAATTCTAAAAATTTCGTATTAGTTGGATATTCATATGGATCAGTAATTTGTATTGAGTTGGCAAGACTGTTGGAGGCCAAAAGTTTCACAGGACGATTAATTTTAATCGATGGCACACCTGAACAGATGAAAACTATGAAAGAACAATACTTTCCTTTCACCACTATTCAGGAGTTTCAGAATAATGTTCTTCTAGGTCTTATGGATTTATTTTATTCAACTGACAGTACAATGGTAGGTTTTTAAAGAAAATATTTTAGGTTGTCATATAATTTACACAATAATTAATACACCACAATTGTTAACAGATTCGTTTGGAATTGTCCAAGCATGACACGTGGGAGCAAAAGTTGGATGCTTTCATCGGATGTATTCCAGATGAATTTTCCCATATTCATTTTGAAAGTTACAGAATTTACGCCACATCAATTTACAAGCATCTACTTGCTCTTGATGAGTACGATACGTCTTCATTGCCGCTGCTAAAATCACCTATACTCTTGCTAAAACCCACAGTTTTGTCTATGCATTATCGCCAGGATGATTATGACTTAAGCAAGGTAATCTTAATATACAGACGCATATCAAGAAGGTATACATTTTCAGAAACTGTTTGACAGCATATTTATTATAATATTTGACATAATATTTATTTAGATGACTAAAGGTAGCGCACAAATTCATTACGTGGAGGGTAATCATTTCACGATGTTGGAAAACGATGAAATTACGGCTGCTATTAACGGAGATATCGTCATAAATAAATGATCTTAACAAAATGTATGATCTTTTATATAATCTTTTTGCGAGAAAATTATTAATATATTATTTTTCTTTGGGAGTGGTTATAATTTATTTATTTGTTTATAATTTGCTAATATTTGTTATATTGTTATACTGTTTATAATATGTTAATATTGTTTATATTGTTTATAACATCAGATTTTTTGTTAACTACTAATTCTTCCGCCTAGCTATCAGTACTATTAAATTGTGCATAAAAAATAGGATATTTTAGGTTGACAATTTATTTGATAAAAGACTAAAATTACTAAATTTTATCTCGTAAAATAATCATTCTTCTTAAAATTAAACGTAATAATGTACTTTCTTTGAAAATTAAAGTCAAATTCTTTAGATTTTTATATATTGAAATGTTCGTACCTCTGTTTTCTAAAAGATTTTTTAAAAAAACCTGATTTTCTGTAATTACTGAAAAACACTATCCATTATTTTCAAAATATCACAAGTTTTAAAAATATTGTGAATGTGTCATCAAACTTTTAAGACTCGTAATATATTGAAAAAAATGAAAAATGTTTCTTAGTAATTACAGAAAATTCGGGTTTTCAAAAAGAATTATAAAATTACAAAAATATAGATACAAATATTTCAATATAAAAATCTAAAGAATTTGACTTAAATTATCGAAGAAAGTACATGTTATATTTAGCGTTAAAAAAATGATTATTTTGAGAGATAAAATTTAGTAATTTTAGAGTTTCATAAAATAAATCGTCAACCTGAAATATCCTATTTTTTATGCATAATTTAATAGTACTGATAGCTAGACGGAAGAATTAGTAGTTAACAAAAAATCTGATGTTAAAATAGAAGATAAGACGTAAGCGTCGTAATCGTAGACGCTAATGAAAAGTAAAGTAGAGAAAAACGTAAATGTAAGGTCTTAACTATAGATCGCTAATAGTCTTTCATGACTTACGTTTACGTTTTTCTCTGCTTTTATGTCTACGATTATAACGCTTACGTCTCGTTCATCTGCCTTAAGAGAATGCCGGAGTGAGCGACGAACTTGATATACGTCGATAACGTAGACCGATCGTCAAAAAATAGAAAACGTTATCTTCATTTACCGACGATATCGAATTTATATATACATATGTATTTATAGAATAAAGACGATCGTCAAATAGGCGCTAACATGATACTGCTATCATCCTTTCACAGATGTTATGTAAGTGTTACGTCCTGTGCAGACATGAGTCATGCACTCTATCTTTGCCTCCTCTGTCGGGAAACAACAAACAATTCCGAATCGTAAGACCGTTTTTCGTCTTTCCCCAATAAAAATTCCGACTAAAATTCCGAAATAACCCTGGGAAATACAGCACTAAAACTCCTTAATCCGC